CACACAGCCAAGATCCCTGACTCTTAACACCAACTCTCTTCTCCGGGGAGGGGAGGGGACGAGGGAAGGGGGGAGGGGGAACACGCCGAGGCGCACGGAATTGCAAGTTCAGCAAAGAAATGGGTGGGGGGGCTCCGGGGAGACACGGCTCCCGCGGATCGGGCTGGTTGGGATGCACCCCCCGCTGGAAAAAAGAAAAAAATCTCAACACCTCCCCCGCCTCGCGAAAAAACACAAACGAAAATCCACCGAGCACCTCATCGCCCCTCAGATCGTCAATTACAATCTGAAGGCTGAACGGTACGGGTTTTGCCCGCTTCTGCCCTCGGAGGCACTTTGAAATGTATTCGAGTTTACGTCTCTCCGCACTTCTTTCTTTCCCCGGCTCCCGTCCCCTCTCCCTCACACGTCTACACACGGCAAAGCAAGTTTACACTAGGCTGCAAATACACGTGATGCAAAAAGACTTGGCCAAGAGGAACGATATTTTTCTTTTCCATCTATAAACCGAGCCACCGTTTGCTGGGGACATTCTCATTTCAGTAGTTTTGCGTTGGGGGCGAAGCCTTAATTGCATACTTTCTTTCCCCTCCCTTTTAAGTCACAAAATAGTATAGCTGCAAACTTTGCCAAAAAGGAAAAAAAAAAAAAAGAGGCAATTTTTGAAGGGGGATGTTGTTTTGTTTTTACACTTGAGTTCCTAGGCACGCTAGGTCCCCGTTCGCCAGCACTGTAAGTTTTTAATTTCAGCATTTACCATTACAGGCCCTGCACGCTCTTAAAACATACTTTTTTTTACACCACTTTTTTAGGATAGAAATTAAGCTTCATAATTCTATCGGTTCAGAATTGTAAGCGTGCTTTATCCAGTATATGCAACATACGCAATTGTAACGTGTTAAAATACACATTCTGCAAAACCCTTTATTGCTATATGTGGGAATACATACACAACATGCACACATTTATTTTCTCATTGGCAATTATTGAATAGGTTCCTTTTGTTTTAATAAAACATTGGGATCGATATTTTAAAAAATTAAATTCAACAACAGTTTACTCTGACAGCAAATTGTAACGTTACCTTAAATGGCCACAAATATGCTCACAATATTCCAAGGAAAGTGACTTTAAAAAGAGAAACAAAAATCTTCTGCAAGTACTTAGTATCTCACATGTGTGTCCCCCAAAAATGTACTTTAACTGGCACTCAGTCCTGCTCCAGGGATATCCACAGTATATAAGACTATGCACCTGGCTGTGGTTTTTGCATTTTCCACCATAAAACTGCAACAAAATCCCCTCCCCCAAAAAAGAAATCATTAAAAAAAAATCCAACAACTTTTTCTTATTGTTTACAAAAAAAATCAATACAGGATAGTTATCATTTTTCCTCAAACCAATCTTGGTGGTGGTGGGGTTTTTTCTCTTCTCCTCTCATCAAGTCTTAAACTTGTTCCAAGTTTAGAAGTGTCTCATCATCCTCCTCCTCCTCCTCATCACCATCACCATGGACTCCCCCGTGGAGTCACATTGATGATAATAGGTTCCCCTGAAAGATACATTGTAATCCATTCACATCCGGGCACTGCGGGCTTATAAAGAGAAGGCGCCGCGGCCGCGGCTGCTCCTCCAGACAATGACTCGGGAGGGCGGGGCGGGAGCGGGAGACCATCGAGAGGTAAACACCGCGCCTAGAGCGGCGCCCAAGATGGCGGCTCCTGCGGGCCACGCCTCCTCTCGAACCGGCGGGGCGGGCGTCGCTCCGGGGGCCGAAATGCAAGGGCTCCCGAGGCCGGGGCCGTGAGCCGGCCCCGCGTCCCACCGTACTTCTTCTTGGTCCCCTTCCCGGGCCTTCCGTTCACTCAGAAGTGGAGTTTCTAAATTAAGGACTGAAACCCAGACTTCCAAGGGAGTCAGCTCCCCTGACTCACCCAGAGGGGGTCTCCACGGAGGCCGCGCCCGCCTCCCCGACGGGGGAAGCCTCCAGTCCGGCGCTCTGGCCCCGTGAAACCCGACCTGACTTAGGGAGACCTGCGCGTCCTGGGAAAAGTCCCCTGAGCCACGCTGTAGCTCCTGGGCCTGAAGAGGCACGTGGGTCCTCGCCCCCTGCGCCACCCACACACTCTCTCCCTCCAGGCCCCGGGGAAAGTGAGGACTTTGCAGGGCTCGGAAGCCTCCACTTGAGAAAGACCTTCATTTACTGCGTTGTGGACTCAGATTGAGTTTGTACCGGGAAACACTACTGAATCAACTTCTAGTTCTTGCCAAGCAATTACCGTCTCTAGTGTGTTTTCTAGTCTGTGAAATGCAAAGAACAATACCCACCTTAAGAGTTCCTAAGAATGAAAAGAATAAAGTTAAAGACGGAGCAACCACTAAAATCATTCCTTTCCATCTATAATTCCTTGCTAAACCAACTGATAGCTCTAATCTAGACCATCGGATTTTCAGGGGAGGTTTTTCTTACAGTTAATCTGGCCCGAAATCTCTAGCAGTTGCTGACAAAGACCTCTCACACACTACACATCTCAAGGACTGCCTCCTTCCTTCACTGTATTCCTGCAGGCTGAGTCCAACCTTATAAAGGGATCCCTGTACCTGTATCAACCAATGGGCTGACAGATGCCCCATCCAATCAGAAGGATAGTTATACTCTCATTTGCATCTTTACTGACCAATCAGAGCAGCTCCTAAAAGAACATTCAGAATGTGCTATCCTGACCAACCAAAGGACAGTGTTATTTGGACCAATCAGACTGTGCAAACTTGGAATCCTCATTTGCTTAAAAATGGACCAATCAGGGACTAGGGTGGGACTTTCTATATAAAGAGTGGACTTATCTTTGTCTCCATGGAATGCACTTTTGGTTTCCTCCTGAGGCTGCTTTCCCAGTTTGGAAATTGAACTTTTGAATAGTTTGTTTTCTTTCTGCACCCTAGATTGGACACCTGTTGGCATTAAATTGGTGGCAGCGACCTTTTGTTCACATAATGTTGAGTAGCTTAATCCAGAGCAGTTTAATAAGTGATTTAAAAAAGAACCTAAATTATACAACTTTATATTAATAGAGCCCACCTTTGAAGCCACACCATCTATGATCAGAGTCAACATCCAACTATATCCTTATACTGTCTGGCATCAGGAATGTCCTAATCTCTATTTTCTGATATAGTTTTGTGGAAGATTAATTTTCAAGATCTTTTGTTTATATGTAAGTTTTTAGGGAACAAGAATTAGGGCATTTATACTTTGTTTCCTGTCTGTTGACACATTGGGAAGATTCCTGTGTTCTGGTTTCTTTCCATGTTCTCATCTTAAAGTAACATTTTTACATTTAGACACTACTTTATGCTGCATTATCAATCAAAAGTATTATCTCTGTTTCTCAGCATAAGCCTCTGCAGGCTCTACTGAGATGATGTAATAAAAAGACCATAAATGTTTGTTTAGGAGAAATATTCCACTGGCTCTATCTCTTTAATCAGCTCTGTGACCTAAGGCTTGACGTCATTGTCTTTTACAGAAAAATGCAGAGGCTAGATGAAATAATCCCATAAAATTCCTTCTATTTTTTAGATTTTAACACACACCCTTTCTCCTGAATTTCAAGGGGAAATAAATGATCTGTCTAGAAATCAATGATAGGATCAGGTCTGGGACCTAAAGCACCCAATTGATGGCTAGTGATTTTTTTTTAAAACTGCATTCTATGATCAGAAACCCATGAAACTATGTTTCTTATTTTAAAGTAAGGAGCACATTTGGGTGTTTTTTTTAATGAACTCTCAGAAGAATAGGTATACTTATAAAGATGGGAGTCGCCCTAGAAACAAAGTCAATAGAATTATGTGACACTTTATAGAGGAAAATGTAATAGACATGTTTTGGGATTCCTGCTCCATCTACCTTCCCTAGAAGTCTCTCCATAAATCCTGATATAGAGGTAGAACTTGATGTGAGTGTCACATGAGTCCGAGCCCCACCAGCTACAGCTGATTGAACCACAGGAACTAAAAGAGTCTTGCCCTGCTGGTGTGGCTCAATAGTTGAGCATTGACCTATGAATCAGGAGGTCATGGTTGGATTCCTGGTCAGGGAACATGCCCGGGTTGCAGGCTCTGTCCCCAGTGTGGGGCATGCTGGAAGCAGCCGATCAATGATCCTCATCATTGTTGTTTCTGTCTCTCCCTCTCCCTTCCTCTCTCTGAAATCAATAAAAATATATATTTTAAAATATAAATAAGAGTCTATGGTAAGTGATGGATCTGACATGTTGGGGTCAGCTGGCCAGAGCTAGTGCCAGGAAGCCAATCCAGGTGAGACCCATGGTTATGCGGAAACAAGCACCAAGAGTAAGCAGAGGACACTGTTCTTCAGATAAAACAGAATGGCTTTGGAAGTTCCCAAGACGATTCAGTCCTAGGAAGAAATGCTTAGGGATACTTTTTCCTTTAAAATTTTTTTTTTATTATTGACTTTTTTAAAGAGAGAGAAAGGGAGAAAAGCAAACATCATTTTGTTGTTCCACTTATTATGCGTTCATTGGTTGCTTCTTATATATGCCCTGACCAAGGATTGAACCTGCAACCTCGGCATATCCTGCAACCTTGGGATACTTTCAATATTA